TAACTCTTGAATAACTCTTGAATAACTCTGGAAGGCTACTTAAACCAATCAGAAAGGAAGAAATATTCATAATAAATATTAAATACTCCTAGGAATACCCCATCCGGCGGACTAATTTTAACTTTTGCACGGGTCGGTCAAACATTTTTGTCCGTAGGATATGAAATTACAGTTTCGACAGTGGACGAATTTCTTGCCGGAACAGATGCAAGAGTCTTTATTGATATGTATGGAGGAAACGCTGAAAAAACTGGATGGATTGAGCTTAGTGATAATGGAAAAAACGTATTTGAAGCTGGAGCGTAAGTAGACGTGACTGATTGCCTTCGTTTCACCATTCTTAATTTTCCAGGCAGGACATAACGATTATTATATTAATTAGGTCCAGCAACGAAACAGACCCTGAACCAACTAAGAAAGCTTTTTAAATTCGCTAATCGTAAGCTAATCGAATGAGCTAATCGAATGAGCTAAAAAAAAGCTACAGTATCCTGACGCAGCATAATGTTCGCGTATTATCCCCTCCCACGGGGCGAAGTTAAGAGGACTTAAATGTTTTTGTTTCTAGTGAAAAGTACAGCTGATTAACATAAAAACGACTATCCACTTTATTAGATATGGAGGAACGCGATTTTTACTAGCTACAATCCTGGACAAAACTACTTGAGAAAATGTTTTCATTAACGCGCACTACCTATAACGCAACAAAACTATTTCCAAATCAACGGCTTTGCGAAAAGAAAACCCCCTCCCCCAGTTCAAAGTTGCTTACTACAAATGCTTAGGGATCCGTCTTTCTTTTGAAGACCCAACAACACTACTTCCAGGGGGAGGGGGGAGGGAAGAATCGGTCGACTACGAAATTTAGAAAAAATGCCCCCCAAGAATGTAATTTTCTCAACAGTTTTGACCAAGATTGTAGCTAGACACTGATCATAACTAAGCACTTTATATTCTCTGAAGGAATGATACATTTTACCGTGATGCCAGATTCATAAAACCGATCAAGTTTATAAAAATGATGCGCAACAACGATTGGTACACTCCAGGATGGAAACTGCTCAAGGTAATTAGCGCACAGCGGCAGCAGCTAAATAACAGTTACGGTGATGTTACAAAGGACGGTTTGCAACAATTATTTTTAACGCAACGCAACGTTGCAACATTGTTCCAACATTGTTTCGAATAGCTGTAACATTGTTGCAACATTGTTTCGAGTAGCTGCAACATTGTTGCAACATTGCAACGCTTTGTTGCGCTAAAAATCGACGTTGCAAATCGTCCCGTGTAACATCACCTTTAGTGAGCTTAAGCGACGACGACCTCGAAGGCAACGAAAACGGCAGAAAACAACATGGTTTAGATTGGCAAAACAACAAGTTTGCTTGTCCTTCTCACTTTTTGTACATTAGAGAATCTGCCTAATTTCACGTTTTCTTGAGGATGAGAACAAAAGATGGCGACTTGATTATTCTTTTTTATTTGATTTAAACCAACTTAGGGTGTGTTCCTTTGGGATGATCGTTCCTTTAGGATGATCGTTCACTGATCCTGATCCGGATCATTCCAAAGGAACGCACCCTTAGAACTTGAGGTAGCGTGGCCGAGTGGTTAGGGCGTTGCACTTGTAACTAGTAGGTACTTGTGAAGGCAAAACCACAACGACAAACCAGTGAGGCTCCACCGGATCTTTAGTAGACCTGGATCAGTAAAATCTTGAATACCAAACTTTTTAAGTTTCTAACTAGAAGGTTCCATGTTTAGGTCCAGCGCTGAATGACTGCCAGCTGCATTATTAATTTTGTTCTCGGTAGTGCCGAGTTCAAATCTAGGCCACACTAGTAATAAAGCCAACTGGTTCGCCTCCCACCATTTGAGATTTTTAACCCTGTTATGTTCCATTTGAATTATAATTTCTTATAATTTAACTCCAGAAAACATGGAAAAATTTACAAACATTTGGTAGATTGAACGACATGGAGTAAAAGTGATGAATTTTGAAAACGCGTGAGTTCACTTTTAGAGAAATGTCGTACGTAAACTGCCAAAACACTGCCGAAAAAAACGTACCAAAACAGAAAAATATAACTCTATGGATGAAACGTGCTACTTGAAGAATTATATTCCAGTGCTAGACTAATCCTGAATGTGGCAGGAACAGGCCGATGAAGAAGGCTGACCTTAACATATCGATCGAGGGAAAGCAAGTTTTTAAAGTAAAATTTGGCTGCCGTATCATGATTTTAGTGAAGAATAATGCAGTCCATGTTTTCCGCCATGACCAACAACATCAGCCTTGCCACCCCCACCCCCTCCCCCAAATAAAAGCTGCATATATATTCATTCTTCCGATCATAATCAGTCTCTTTCCAAAGAGTTACTGCCTCAAGTTTTAAGACGAAATATACATCTTCATTCTACAATTAATGTTGATACCACAGGTAACCATAAGAATCCAAGGTCACTCTGACTTGTATACGTTTTACTTCAACAAATGGTTAAGTGCTAACGAGGAGGTGACATTACACGGTGAGATTGTTAGCCCTCCAATTTATGTTTTACTTCCACACTTAAGGGTGATGCCAGGAAATTGTTTTTTCACCGTTCTGTACAGCGGTTTATTTTGTCTGCGACGCAGGCTAATTTCTAGGAACATTTCGAAGTTAACCCGCGGTAGAGCGGTATTTGTCGCAGGATGGAATAGAACCAGGAACATTGATTTAATGTAGTAAAGTATACTAATCAAGTGGGTCCCACAAACTGCTAAGGCATTCCTTATAAAATTGTCACCATTTCACACTCTTATCTTAAATAACTAATTCAAAATTATCTTTTGAAATTTAATTTTTTCTTGACCGGCAAGTGAGCTATAAATCCCAAATCTGCACCATGATCTTGAAGTCGGGGCGCTTATATTTTTAATGATGTTCGCGGAATTGTTGGGCGACCAAACCTTTAACTTTTGAAAGAAAAGAGAAGATCAAAAAATAAAGACAAAAGCAAACAAACAAAACACACAAAAAACAAACAAACAAACAAAAAGTTGGACTGCCTGTTTCTAAAAATCATCTGACAAAATTACGGTTGACTTTCAACACTTTAAAGTAACCAGTTTTTTAAAAGCAAGCTTGATCTAGGTCAAAGTCAGAACTCAAATCCGATGATGTTTTTAATTAGCTATTATGATGCCGGCATTTCTCATATATCTAATCAGTTTTGGCAAGTTTTATTACTTTGCTGACTTAGTATTAATTATATTTACCGGTAACGGTTTGTATATGGTAGCCACATAGAATTACGACGTAATACTTAGGTCATGTTGAGTTACTGCTTCATTCACGCAAAAGCACGCTTGGTCGCAGTTTCTACCGCTGCGACGAGCAGCTCATGAGTTTTTAGATTTTTAGCCATAGGTCAAATACTGAAAAAACGAAGTTGTATATAAAAATAACAAATTAATTTTTTTAATTAATCAGAGGAAAATAAATGCCGATCTGGTCATTCAGACTGTCACCATTTATGTATCTACACTAATCCGGGATATCGTTGTGATTGTCACCCAGGATTCGAGCTACATCAAATGAACCGTTGCAAAGGTATGCAAAGACTTAAGGAAGAGTTATATTTCACTCGTTTCCCTAGCCTAAAACTGTGCATATTGGGAAGTAAGAAATATCTTCTTGGAAAATAAACTTTCAAGGGTGGACCTGCACTGAAAAAAGAGCGTAGGATAACGGTTTTTGAATTAGTCGTTGATAAGGGTACGTTGCCTAGTGAACATGAACGAATCTTTTTAAGAGCCCTCATATTGTTCCAGATCAAAGTATTGAACTGAAAAAACAACCTTTAGTTAAGAAAAACACTCGTAATAGCCATGGCTGAGAGAACGAGTCAGCAGAAATCAATAAATGTTAGGATAGGTTTAATAGAAGCATGAAGTATGGTCCCCGAACGTCAACTTCGTCCTGGAGTCAATAATCCTCGCTCTTAGATAGTTTTTTACAGGCAGGAGGAGCGATATATTATTGAAAACGACAGGTACGCACAGTCATCAGATTAATTTAATACCGATTCGCTGAGTAGTTTGATCTTCCCACCCCACAAAAACAGAGTAGAAGTGGAAGTGAAGTAAGAGATACCACTTTTCAAAAACACTCAAACTTACAATTTGATGGTGTTTGTTCACTATAATTTGTTGATATCCTTAGATGTAGACGAATGCAAAAATGGCGACAACAAGTGCGACTTAAAAGCAGCACATTGCGTAAATAAACCAGGATCCTACTCTTGTCAGTGTAAAGAAGGCTATCAACAAATGGACAACTACACCTGCACTGCCTTCACGTCATGTAATGTATTAACACTCACTGGTCTGCAGACACCGCTGTCCAAAACGTTTCTTCTATGTAGTGGTAACGAAGAACATAATTTGTTTCATGCAAGCCAATATCTGACTATGAAAAGCTTCCATTTACCGGCGGTAAAATTACAGTAAATGTATGAAGGAAATCTGGGGGAAATCGACTTTGGTTCGAGTTAGCGGGAAGTTCGAGTTAGCGAGGATTCGACTGAGTTATCGGGAGTCAAAGAATACTTCGTTCTATTTCAGAAGCCTTACAATTGCACATTTTGTTAGAATAAAACTATAGCGATTACTTGATCGGAGGAAAACGTTTCCTTCAAGCAATAAGCTCATTTTATTATGTCCCTCTTGCAAAGAAGGCTGTTACACTTTAGTAATTACTTATGTATTCTAACCAACATTTGCTCTTTTTAGCAAAGATGTGCAGCGGGAGTGATCCACTTGGAATGGAGAGCGGCAAAATTAAAAACCAATCTATCACAGCCAGTTCCTACTTTCCCAGTATCCTCCTTGGGCAGCGCGGCTTCGATCCGGGATTTCTAAAGGTTGGTACGCTTTTCCATATGACCCATTGCCATGGATACAAGTGGACCTTGGAAAGCAAACTTGGCTGAAAGGTGTGGCGACACAAGGCAAGATGTTCTCAATGTATGTGACTTCATACAAGTTGGCGTATTCGCAGGACCAATTCACATGGTTTTACTACCGAGGTGACAGTGACAACGATAAGGTAGGGCCGGTCAAAAGTGTGTCTTGTCCTAAGCATATTGTTATTTGACTCGGGAGAATGAAAATGGACTAAAGAATTCATTAAAAACAGCAAGATCAATGCGACAAAATAAATGCATCCGCAAATAGCTTAACAAATAAATAAACCCCGCCTTTCAGATGGTATAACGCTACCGGCTATAAAGTCATAAAATTTGCTCACAAGTCTATTAATTAAAAGCTATCAGGCTCTTGGAGGAAAGTACTTAGCCCACCCCCCACAGTTGTTTACATTTTTAAAGTCACGTGATATTATTGCACCATGAGCGAGAAGTTGTACGCCACAGGGCGGGAAGGATTATTAAACCTGCTGAACGAGACTTTTGTGTCTTCCTCTCTGTTGTACGAAACAACCTGGCTGTTACATTCTCTTGGTCACCAGAAGCTCCTCCCAGCCAGCCCCAGTAGGTAACTATAGCAGCTCCTCAGAACATTGTAATTCCTGTATTGTAATTCAAACAAGTTGTATTGTAATTACCATATTGCAAATAACTTAATCAAGACTTGGCGGAAATGCATCCATACGTATTTTCTAACTCCTGAAGATCCTTTACTTTTTAGGTTCTTAATGGAAACAAAGATCCGTACCGAGTGGTTACAAACAGTTTGCCGAGACCAATTCACACACGCTTCGTGCGACTGTACCCTCTTTCTTGGAATGACGCCCTTGTTATGAAGCTTGAGTTGTACGGCTGCATTTCTTCGTAAAGAACAATGAACAAAAATATAACAGCTGAGAACAATTGATATAATTGAATATATTATTGTTAAGTTGGCAAACTATCTTAATAATTTAGTTTGTGTACCTAGCTATTTGCAGTGTCTTGGTTAGGATGCGAGAAAAGGGGAGTCACCATTAAAGTCACCATTAAAACATCTTAATAATCTCCCCAGAGTGCACCTGTTTTTATCAGTTTCTCATCCTCCTTAAAGGGGCTCGACCCAGCATTTTTGTAGGTACACTCGCTTCAATCTTTGAATCTCTTATGCTTAAACAAATTGATCTTTACTATAAAAACATTATAACGCATGTATTACACGTAGTCTTAACGTTATTATGATATTATTTCTTCGCGATGGGAATAAATATCACTTGACAATGACGTCACAATAGTTTTAACTCTAAATCGAATATTGCCCTTATAGGCATTTTATTTGGACATGCTTTATGCTACGTATACGTTGGGTGCTTGTCTTTTGTTGTGCGAAGTTTCACAAAGATCAATTAAACTTTCTCAGGTGAAAGTCGCAAAGCTGGGAAACAACTGTTTGGGACTCTAATAACAGCAATAAAACTGGGATGGGATTCGCACTCTCGCGGGATTTATTTTATTTAGGTTTTTTCGGAGTTCCGGTTAGGTTTCGCGTTTCGGTCGATGTTAGATAGGATTTTGCGACGTGTGGACACTAAATAATATCGACCGAAACCATCGTTCCTCGGAAAGACCATAAGCCGCGTCGTTCAATGCAATACAGCTGAGTCTATTACAGATTTAACGATTTGTTTTAGTAATATAAGCTGGAAACGACAGTATTGACCGTTTTATAACTCAACTAACTCAAACACAACATCCTCGCTGCGATCAATCAGGGGCACCCAAAGAGAATATATAGTTTAAAACCACTTAAACATAGCACTTTCAAATGTATTTTAGTATTTAAACGGCAGATATAGGCATATTTTTATCCCCTAAAATTTTTTTATCTGTTCGGATTTCCTAGCTGAGAGTCTGCGATCCGAAAACTATAGGCGTTTTGATCCAAGAGAGGATAAAGGGGACAGAGAAGGCATCCGCCATACACACCCTCTTCCATAGGTGATTCGTCTCCAGTTATTTTCAGAATCGGGGTAAAGTTACCTCGCGCGCTGCGTGGATGTTTCGTTGAGGCTTCGCATGAGTAAACGCCGTGCAAACATGTCGGGCGAAAGGCAATGAAAGCGTAAAGAGATCGAGAGCATTCCTGAATATTGTGGCGAAATGAGTCGGCGCTCACCCGGGAAAAGGGAATCGCTAGACTCTTTGACAACTCGTGAAATCAGTTTAACTCGAAGTTGTCGTAACCTCAGTGCTTTTAATTAATAAAATGAGAAATTTCGCCGGTCTATTGAAACTGCTCGTTTGTACAATAAAGCAAGTAGGACGCCAATTGTTATTTTTGTTGAATAATAAAAGACTAATAAAAGAATAAATATCAAACCAGAAATTGCTCTCTTCAAATTGTAAATTATAAATGATCCTGAGGGAATATTCAGTGTGTTAAGGATTTCCCTGCTGTTCTGGTAGCTCTATACGAGAGAGGAAGGGCGATTCTTTTTTAATTTCCGTTTCGCTGACACAGCTTTAGCAGAAATCTCTCTGTAGTCGTTTTCGTCAACAAAACAAATAGCAATATCGCTCTCCGCGTCTTCCGCCATTTTGTTCTGCGTCAATTCGTGAAGGACGCGTGGCTCTGAGCGTGGGTCATCCACGCGGAACACATTTGCGCTATGTGATTGGCTGTTTTCTAATCGCCCTTGGGAACTGTGGTCTTAAAAATAACTCGAGACGAACTACCTATGGAATAGGGTGTGTATAGGGTATGCCTTCTCTGTCCCCTTTATCCTCTCTTGTTTTGATCCCTATAACTTGACTTACCTTTTCGAAACAGTTCCAGCCAGAAAAAAGGATCCTGAAAATTCTAGGTGACCTTTGAGGGTAAAAATCCGTTAGAAATGGGCAATTATTATTTTTTAGATGTCCGAAAATCCTAGGAGAGGCAGGCAAGCAAGAAATTTTACAACAAACGTTCCGAAAATTCTAGGTGGCAAATCGTCTTCCGAACAGATATTTTCCGAAAATTGACGTTGGGTACCCCTGATCGATCAAGTCGAGGGATTTCTTAATCAGTCATTTTGTAACACGCCACTGACAAATCGATGACTCATCTGGTTTCGGTCGATGTTATCTAGTGCTTTCCCTTTGAGGGGCACAAATATGTCCGCCGGAAACTAACAGAAACATCTGTTTTTGAGTTTTCCTACTAATGCGTGAATTCATCGCTTGAGGAACTCATAAAGATTAAAGTAATATTTATTCTGGGAGAAGGAATGTTTAGATAGCAAAATCTCAAAAAATCAGTGGCGTTCTTACCCCACATGAGAGCTTTCCCGGCCGCCATGCAGCTCAACGTAAAGTCACGCCAAACCCTTGAAATTCAAGCGTCCTCTATCGCAAAACAAAGAACCCTTTCGCACCAAAACTTTGTTTAAATAAAGGTGTTCAGGTGCTTTAATACCTTATGAAACTGAGAAACTCAGAAGAATCGATAGTTTCTTCGTTTGAATATTGATGACGTCATGTGAAAACCGAGAATAAGGGCAGAAACTCGATTTAGAACTAAAACTATTGTGACGTTATTATCACGTGATATTTATCCCGATCACGCAAAAAATAATATCTAAGTCTATGTGTAATACATGTGTTGTAATGTTATTACAATAAAGATCAATTTGTTTAAGTATAAGAGATCCAAAGCTGGAACGATGTGCCTACAAAAATATTGGGTCGAGCCACCTTAAGGAAACCCGTAACTTGAGGCTTTGTGCTTGCGCAATTCATTTCGAATTAGCCATTTCCTACGAGGACGATTACAAAGTGCATGCATGTTTTTGAGAGATAGAAGTGAACCTTTTTGAACTCTGACTGGATGCAAAATTGTCTCAGAAGGCCTTACAAAATACAAGGGTCCGATTATATGAAAGGTAGTCTTTATGTTAGAGGGAATAATTCAACCGTTTCTCTTCTAGAAATGCCCTGGAGGCCCAAATTTGACAAAAATCCTGAACTTCATTTTGACGAATGCATAAAAGCAAATAAAGTGTGGCTAAACAGGTCTCAAAAATATTCCGGCGCAAAGCAGAATTTCGTCCACTGAATTCCGTTTACAAGTTGGAACCACATTATGAGAACTGATCAGTATTGGACGCCATCATCCACTTTGGAAGTGACGGAAGAGGTTACGGAACTTGACACCTGTACAAAATACCAGTATGAAATAGGAATGCTTGATTGAACTACACCTCAGTACTAGCCAAGGGGTTAGAAATTCTGGAGAACAAAACGATTTCCGTGGATTTTCCAAGAAGTCTATACAGAGACCTAATTGAAACTCCCGTGCACAAGTTCCCAGGAATCTTCGGGAAACAGTTTGAACCGGAACTTTCAGCGCCAGGTTTAATGTGATTTCAATTTTCCCTTTCCATGAGGCACAAGGCTCTTTTGATGTGAATAAACACCTACAGAAATAGACAGCTGCAGTGGTATATACTAGTTCTAAATAGAATTAATTGATATCCGTGAAGTCTTTGCGGCTGACGTACTCTCTTGGCTTAGGTTACCCGTTTTGACGATTGAAATATAGAGGAAACTGTTATAATATCTCGGCTTACTTCTATCTTCAGGTAGCGTTTCGATTTATAAAGATATGCAAATTTACAGCCCTCAGGTGATTAAAAAATGAATATAATAATATGATAATAATGATAATGGACGTTGAAATTTAGAGACCACTTCAAGTGAGAATATTTTTTGACCTGAGGCTGAATTGTCTCGTTTTTGTTTTGTTTTATTTAATTTTTATTCGCACATTGCTAATAGTTCCTTTTAAATAGGCCAAAGAAATACAAAAACAAGTAAAAATTAACGCGGATAAAATCGAAGGCCGTTTCGGTGTCAAAAAATAAACATGTATGGTCTTTAATCCCTTTCACGTTTATTTAAAGACCAGATATAGTTGTTCATCAAGTTGTTTTCGAAGTGGATTCTTTTGTGCCGACATCCATGCAAGTTTTAGGATTGGTTTTGCTAGAGTTTTCAGAGTGGGCCACCGTCAGCTTTCCCCTGTCTCTTCCTACAGCGGCAAGATTTAGGTTTGAACTCGTTCCGTTTAATTCTGCCACGGCATTTCTTTTTCTTAGTCGCTGGAAGCATGAGCGAAAGGAACGGTTAAACCGAGGAAGTCTCCATGCGTACATGAAAGGGTCGACCATGGAGCTTACAGATAGAAATTCGTTGGCGACGTAACGATACAAGCCAAACGCGTGAGAGGTCCGGCATGGACAAAAATATAAAATATGTACGAAGATAAAATAAGGTAAAAAAGAACAATAAAAGACCAAAAGGATCAAAACGAATGCAATAACCATTCTGTTGTCCCTCTCCAACTGCTTTTTTCTGTTAATCGCTGTCAGGCTTGCTCTAACTTCTTGAAGTTCATTTCTTTGCAAGATAATTTTCTTGTAAATTTTCAAGTATGCTGTTGTCAAAATAAATGAGGGGACGAGGAAATGAGAGTAACAGTAAGCAAGCAAGAAATTCTCCTGTTTCACATCGGATACTGGCAGAACGGACATGACCAGCGCGNTTGAAATTTAGAGACCACTTCAAGTGAGAATATTTTTTGACCTGAGGCTGAATTGTCTCGTTTTTGTTTTGTTTTATTTAATTTTTATTCGCACATTGCTAATAGTTCCTTTTAAATAGGCCAAAGAAATACAAAAACAAGTAAAAATTAACGCGGATAAAATCGAAGGCCGTTTCGGTGTCAAAAAATAAACATGTATGGTCTTTAATCCCTTTCACGTTTATTTAAAGACCAGATATAGTTGTTCATCAAGTTGTTTTCGAAGTGGATTCTTTTGTGCCGACATCCATGCAAGTTTTAGGATT